GTACAACTACTCAATTCAACCAATCAGTAGTATGTATAGTTTTACGCAATTTATACTTGACTTCGGAAAGAAAATTTGTTGAAACTTGATCACAAATTTTAATCTTTTCCTATTATCGTGTTACTCACATCCTAATTGTGAATGATGAAGTACTCTTTGAGCAGATGAGTTTCCTTTTCTCGGTCCTCACTCCTTTCCTAAAACTGTCCTTACATTATGCTTTTTTGTTTGTTTGTTGAGTAGCTTTCCCGATTGTAGAAATTTATTTTTCAAGTGTCGGTTGATAGTGATTTCAATGGTTACAGGTATGACATCAGTTAGAGAACCATTGGAACCACCAGCCGGGGGGAGGTGTACTGAATAGCTATCTTACCCAATTTCGGTATTCCTCAACCAATACGAAACCACTTGAATCTGGTCTAATGTCCCCCATGAATTTCAACTTCTTCACAGCCACCAGCCGATATCATGGACGAGCAACTACCCTCTTACCAGACTTGGTGGATCCCATTGGTTGAGTTGGAAGAAGTTTGAATTCGTAGGATATATTAGAACAAGTCCCAGAAGCTTATTATTGGTCCACGAGCTCACCTTGTAACTTGAAGGTCCCGAGTTCGAACCCTGGCGGTGGGTGCGTACTGCTTAAGAGTCCCAGACTAAGACGGAAAAAGTTGACTGTCCAGTAGCCCCACGTTTTACAATGATTCTGTTGTGGTGAAGGCTTGCTGATAGCCAAATTGGTAGTTAGTAATTTACATCAATGTGTACGTCCCCAATATTGGCCATGAGGAAAATAAGAACAAAGACTGATTCAACTGTTAATCACAGCAGATTTTGCGTAGGCGGATACAATTAGCAGATAGATGATCTGACCTTCAAGAAATGGCCACAAAGAGATGAAATATTAACGTTCAACGAGAAACCACCAATCAGAAGACTGTCTTTGTTTGCTTACAATAATCTATAATAATGTACGTGAAAATCTATAAATATCTGTTGATTTTCTATAGTTTGGTTTGTAAGGGTTAGTTTTGTTTTTACGAGTTGATCACGGATCGATATCAGTTAGAGAACCGCTGGAAATCAGCACTGCAGTACTAGACAGCCAGCTGTTTCATCCTAGTCGGCAGTACGCACCCACCTCCAGGTTTCGAACCCAGGAACTTCCGGTTACGAGGCAGGCTGGCTCGTATACCATTCAGTCACTTCTGGCATCCGATTCAATGGCCAGTGTATGAGTTCTAACTTCTAACAATTTGTGATTTACCGCGACCCCAATCATTGTCGTAGGTGGGACATCCATCCTCACATGTCACATCTAAATAGACCTCACTGGTCACGACTTCTCAGTAGAACTCCAGAATGTTTCACCTACGACAAAGGTTAAGGGTCGCGTTAAATCACGAATTGGTAGAAGTTATAATTCATACACTGGCCATTGAATCGGATGCCAGAAGTGACTGAATGGTATACGAGCCAGCCTTCCTCGTAACCGGAAGGTCCAAGATTCGAACCCTGGAGGTGGGTGCGTACTGCCGATGATTCTCAGACTAGGATTCAACAGCTGGCTATCTAGTACTCCAGTGCTAATTTCCAATGGTTCTCTGACTGATATCTATCCGCGATCAACTAGTAAAATCAAAAAAACTAACCCTTACAAACCAAACTATTATTATTATTATTATTATTTTCGTTGTCCAACTGAACTGCATTCAAATACACTGTTGTTTTGTTGTGCTGCTTTTTACCACTCATCTTCAACACTATTCTATTCATAATAATGCTTCATATCCGGCTGGCTATCGACCAAAGGGCGTGTGTACTACCCAGCAGTCCGCTGTGTCCTCCTTTGTGGATGTGAGCAAGACATAAACATTGAAGACGGAAGACATGAAAAGACTTAGATATGATAGAGAAGATTTGTAACTCAGGTGGATGATTTTAATGTGATTGTGTTCTCTCTGAGCTGGTTGGTTGATTTGCGGTTGTTTTCTAATCTTGGCTAGGTTGGTTTTGAGGACTCTTCGTCTTTTTGTTCTCTGTGTCTTCTACTTTGACAGTGTAATTGCAGTGAGATCAGCGTTAACAGGTGCTCCTGGTTGAAGGTTTTCTCTAATTTTACTTTTTTGGACATCTATTATTTGTTGATCCGATTATGTGCGTCTGTAATCATTAATTTGACCATTCGTCTTCCACATTGTTCGGCCAATTTCCATCCCATTGGGCAGTTGACTGGCGGTTTGTATCTTACACTCTTTGGTAGGATTTGATGACGAAATCACTCATGGAGAAAGAATAATTGTTCTCTGGTGTATCCTTGCCTTTTGGTGAAGTCTTCCCACTTTCGAACAGAGAGAAGCGTATCCCACTCGTAAGATTTAGATATGATAGAGAAGATTTGTAGCTCAGGTGGATGATTTTAATGTGATTGTGTTCTCTCTGAGCTGGATGGTTGATTTGCAGATTTTGCGCAAATCAATCATCCAGCTCAGAGAGAACACAACCACATCAGAAACATGAAAAGACTGGCTAGCTTTGTTTGATCATAGGTACCTGGGTTCTATCTCCTGTGTGAATTGGTATAAAAGGGTGAGGAATATTGAGGTTAGGCCTAGAGTGCTAGACGTAGGTTAGGAGGGTGAAATCAATAAACGAGGCTGTGAAGTTACATCGACCGAGATGGTTAGGAACATGTGTTACGCATGCGTCGGTGGCACAGTGGTTAGGACTCTCGCCGACCATGCACATGGTCCGGGGTTCGAGCCCGCACCGACGCACACCTGATATCTATGGTCGGCCTGCGAAATTTGGGCTACCGATATCCATGCTGAAAATTCCATACTTGTAGCAAAAATACTGTATGGAATCAAGCTGTAATCAAAAAATAAAAATAAGATAAAAAAAAATGCTTGTCTAGCCATCCTCTCCCTTGACGGACAATGTTAGCTGATATAGGGTCAGGTGGGAAAAGAACCGGTTGTGTTGAAACCAAAACATGGCGTCATCAGTCAATGATATTCACAACAGTTCAGTTTAAGCTGGCCAGGTAGGAAAATTTAGACTTCATTGGTCATGTCCTCAGGACGATAAAAACCAATGAAGTTTGAAGACAACCGGTGATATGGCTCAAAATGATCGTTCTCAATGCACAGATGCATCCACTCCTTGTGACTTATAATATCCAATACAAACTATATTATTCTTCGATATTACTATTCTTTTTGCCTCATATCTCCGTTTATTTTTTTCACTGTTTTGCATCTCTTTGTTTTTCCTGGCTTTGTGTGCCGAGTGAAGTGTGGCGACTGGAACTACTGCATATCCGTGCAAAGTTCTATGTTGAAACCAGACAGAGAGATTCATAATAATGTGGCGCAATATATCCCATGTGGTGAACACAGTGTTGCTTTCTACAATTAAGTAGTATCTATTCAGTAGTCTGGTTAACTGAAAATTTGTGAAATTTATCCATACACCTACAAAAAGCCATTTTCTAAATATTACTAATCTCCAGCTCAATCATAGCTACTGGATGGATATTCGGATGCTGTTGTTGAGGAGTCGTTGGTAGTGAAGAGGATGCTCATTGAAGGCACCGCTATATCATCACAAATTGACGAAGTTACTAATTCACGGGTCATTGAATTTCGTATGGCTGAATAGTCATAAGGTTTGATCTCTGATGAGTTTGTGGATATGCTCTCCTGAAGAATTCCAAGCTAGACTTAAGCGTCTATCTCGTATTCCGTGGTTTTCAGAGAATTTTCTTCAGTGAAGTACATCGGTAAGATAAAATACAAAAGACGTCTAACAGTAAATATGAGTGTACTGAAATAAGACAGTGGTAAGGTTTCTGACTACGGTGCTGAATGCCAAGGGTTGGAATCTAAGAAGCAACATCAGTGTGTTTGGAACCTACATATAAGCCTTGCTGATGTAGGGTACATCCCGCCAGCTGCCTCCAATCATATTATATATATATATATATATATATATATGTAGTATTATTCCTTTGGGTTCCAAGTGGAAGTCAGGGCTTCAACAACACATCTACACTTTTTTCTTTCCTCCGCTGTTCTCAAAGTTTGGCCCACGATTGCCCACAGTCACTCATCTTCTCTTCCCCAAACGGTTTTTTCAATGTCACGCTCAAAGTAACAACCCAGCCGTCGCTTCTCATTCATATTCCACTCTAACATTGGCCTGCACTGCTCTCGATGTTATTCGATGGTCTACTCAGTGGCATATGCCTGATCCATCTCCATTGTCTCCTACATATTTACCTGTTGAGCAATCGTCTGTCGCCTGTGGGTTTGTTACCACCCAGAGTTTCTTTCTGGCCGGCCGGCTGGCCATTTTATTTTCCTGTACAGAGCCAGCCAGCGAAGCTGGCAGCTGTTGATGAAATTCTGCATTCACTTGATGGAAATCTTCTTGACGGGTGCGAAGTGCGAGTTTTGACCAGCATAGAATAAGTGACTGACTGACTGACTGGTTTCACATTTGTGTTGGACAGAATCCCAAGGTTGTTGTTTGTGCTCTGGCTGAGTGAGTGCAGTGCAGAAGATTTCCAAACTGGTTTCAGGTAAGCGAAAGAGGTTTGTCTATGTCAAATCTCTCCCGTTCATGGTGACTGGTGCTGGTTGTTGTTGTTGTTGCTGTTGGTGCGTGGGCATCTTCCTCTCCTTCGTGTCCTCTATGCTCACCTGGAGTCATGTTTTCGTTGGATGCTTCTTCAACCAGTTTGTTGGTTTTCGCCTGTAAGTCTTCGAGTTTGTGTGTGCGACATTAAACGAATAAATCATACATGCGCGAAATCCATATCTTCTAGAGTCGTATATCGGTCCGTAGCATTCCTGACCTCTCGCTTCTCACAGTCAGCCACATTATCCATAAAAGGCTGTTTCGCAAGACAGTTTGTTAATAACGTTTAAATTGTTTTATTTTTCAATTACATAAGTTTTAGTTGTGCTCATATGAACCTTCACTTCATTTTCCAGGTTGGACAGATCATCATTACTACAATACGCATCATTTCAACTCGGATGGATTACCCTTCAATTATTCTGCCTATCACCAGCATCATCAGCATCATCAACAAGATCAGCCAAGCATAGATGAAACACACATCAATCATTCATTCCATATTGATCCATTAGGAGCAACACCGTCGTTTTCCACAGCGTCTACAGCTAATTCTGTTGCTTCATCGTCCGCTGGTGCCGCGGCCGCGGCCGCCGCCGCTGCTTCTGCATTCGCTTCACGTTCCAGACTCAAGTCAATCGCATTCATCTCACAGATAAGCGCCTTCGGCTTAAAGAATAAACGACGTTTTTCACATTTAACACAAAAGTCAACAAAAGTGAAAGATAAAACAACATCAACAACAGCAATAACAAGTAGAAGTAATCTTCATGGGAAAGGGAAACACTCCAGTGATGGTCAATCGAATCCATTATCAGTGACAGAAATTTATGGTAATGAATATGAAGGTTATTATAATGCTAATATGCAATCAGATAATTTGGTAAGTAATACTGTACTGTACTGTACTACTTATTGATTAATCGATTAGTTTGTTTATTGATCTTTATGTTCTATTTTTTTTCAATGATGTATAGCATACTACTGATGTAAGTTGCAAGTAGATAGAAGTGGTATGTATTCACCGGAAGCAAATGATCACAGATTGATATCACTTAGAGGACCAGTGAAGACCATCCGATAGTTCTGGACAGCTCTGTAACCCTAGTTTGGGAATGTATACTAGTAGTCATCAATGTACTCACTGATCGTCGAACCCAGGACCTTGAAGTTACGGGGCGAGCTTGCCGATCATTCAACCACCTGTCAGTTGGCGACATTTGGAGCGAGAATTAATCTTGGACTCATTATTGACTGCCTTCGGGACGACGCTGCCTGGAGAGATCCACCAGGTCAAGTATGAGGACGAATATTCTCCGATGACACTGGCCAGTTGGTCAGTTGGGTGACTAGTCATCGGGATCGGTCTCGTAACCTGGAGATACTGGATTTGATCCCTGGCGATGGAGTCATGAGCGTGCACTCCTTTCATAGAAGATGAACCAACCACCATGCAGGAGAGAATAAAATGAACATCAGCAAGGCCAAAATTTATCTAAATCATTTACTGATGTTGTTAAGCGGAAGGATGAATTTTTAAGGAAACTCGGTTAGACAAAGGGACAGAAATTGTACAGTAGAATCCAGACAATCAGATAATAATCGTTCATTATTTCCAATCTCATGTCACTATTGTACATGTTCAGTGACTGCGTTAAATTCTGCCCTATATATTCAAATTATGTTGCCAAATTAATGAAAAGTTTTGTGCAAGTACTGTAATGTTAGATAGTTAAAGTCGATTGTCAGTCGAGTTGGTTTATTCAGATTCGTGGTTACATGAAGAAAGTTTATTTGTAGTTTGAATAAGGACTGAGAAAAACCGAGTCACTTGTTAACACCAAAACACGTGTTAACTCTCATCCTTTTCCAGCAAAGCCTATTGCTAATTCAGGAATCATACCACATACTATAGAAGTGTTCAAATCACACATTCGGTTCCACATACTTTAGGTCTCCGGGAAGAAAACAACGGTGTGAGTTGTCACTATGTACTGTGTAATCTGCAAGTAAAGAAGTTGGTTCTGTGTGTCTGTGTGTGTGTGTGTTCGTCAAAGTAGCTGGCTGGAATTTAAGTGTCCCAGCTGAGTCTAACAGCGTTTACAGTAACACGTGAAGCATGCAATCACGATGTTTGAAAAATTCGATGTGATTCACCTTTACATAGCATTTACAGTGGATCATGAAAGTGACGATCAGTTCCACTTTGTAGATTTCAACGTAAAAAAAGAAATGATTGGACAATTAAAAAATTCATTTTTAGGAAAGAAACTTGGGCTTGATTATCACAGCTTTCTCTCAATCGCCTGCAAATGGAGACTGGTAGAAACGCTCTTCAGAAGATCTAAGGCGTTATGTTCAGAGAATAAGTTTGAAGAGGAACTCACTGTTGCCAAAAGAACCTTATCAAAAATGAATACCCTCAAAAGTTCATATCGAAAAAATATCGGAGAAAAAACACACCTAGACTGAAAGCTAAAATAGCTAAAAAGAAACCAGTTTTTATCTGTTTGGCGTACAAAGGTGAAGAAGTATCCATAAAAATGGAAAACAGAATTAAAGGTGTGCATTGAAGAGAACAGAGGTGTCTTTTCAAAAACTTCATACATTTAGTTCCTTTAGTAAATTTCGATGAAGAAATGAAGAAGAGATTCGCAGTATAAAATGTGATATCGTCATTCTATTTCACAAGTTTTCATCATCAATTTATACTCTTTCAAAGTAGAAAAGAGACGGTGAAGGGTTAAGACAGAAAACAGAAAAAATTAATTAATTAACAGAACAGTGTTCGCTTGTAGGCTCCTATATCAACTCAAAAAAAACAAAAGTGGTTACAGTTTATGAGATTAGGATTTGTTCAGTGAGTTGACATCACTGATTTAGATGACTATTAATAATGTATTCAAAATTCAGCTACCAAAGGAGTGAGAGGGTTAATCACACTCTCTGTCTGTATGCATAAGTCTGGTTGGTTTGAATTGTTTGACTGCGATGGCTTCGGCAAATCGTAGTAAACATTAAGGTATGTTATTATCCTCGTCTATATAACCATCGTAATTTCAGGTAGTCTTCAGATGAACCTGTGAACCTGTGAAATAGAATGATGATATCACACTTTATACTGCAAATTTCGTATTCCTTCTGCGTCGGTGGTACAGTGGTTAGGACTCTCGCCGACCATGCACATGGTCCGAGGTTCGAGCCCACGCCGACGCACACCTGATATCTACGGTCCGCCTGCGAAATTCGGGCTACCGATATCCACGCTGAAAATTCCATACTTGTACTAATACCGTGTGGAATCAAGCTGTAATAAAAAAATCGTAATTTAGAGGTATTTCCTTTTATTTTAATGTACAATTTAGTCAATATTTCTTTACTCTTTGTGCATCTTACTTCTATTCAGGATTTCAATACAATGGAGTCATTGGATAATGATTACTTTCTGTATAGTTTACAAGCAGCTATATTCCATGGTCTCATACCTTCTAGCCAATCAAATAATAATAATAATAACCAGTATACTTTCCATGATACAGACAAATTTCAATTTCCCTATACAAGAACAAGTATTATTCATGAAGAGTTTGATCCATCATTTGGTGAAGATTTAGGCCTTGGCAATAGTCGTGTCTCTTCTACCCTCAGTGCATATTCATCATCATCGAATAGAAATTCAAAGACATTTTCACCTGATTTTATGAATATAAGTAATGCTAGTAATGCTAGCAGTAATAGTCGGTTTAAATTTCCACCACCTGGTCCACCAGTGGCTGGTTGGGTTAACCAGTTTATTTTACACACTGGTCCACCAGAAAATACCACCATATTGACTACAATACCACCGCCTCCATCAACACGAAGTGAACGGCGATTGTCTCATTCACAACACCAACAACAACAACAGAAGACGTCTTCGTCACTAATCAATAGCCCAGTGAATAATTCATCAGTTACCGTGATTGACATCGCTGATTTGTCAACGAAGATGTCTATTACTGCTTCTGCTGCCAGTGCTGCTCTTGTTGGTACGATGAAATCATCTCCAGGGAATCGGTGTATTTCATCCGTACCACCTTCACCACAACACATTCCATTCCAGTTTGTTCATTCTTCACGTTCACTTGGTTTAACTTCTTCAAGTATTATTCCACGAAGACATGCAGCTAAGAAGTATTCTTTTCAGGAATCACCCATTATAAGTAATACGAAAAATTCAGTTGTACCAAAGTTAGGTAAGTTTTTCAGTTGGGTGAAATTTTCTCTCTCTATTGAGACATTGTTTTTTATTGATTTTGTGTATATGTTAGTCTGTACTGAAAGATATAGGTCTGGATCTCCTAGTAGACGTTAGTGTCTTCAGGGTAGTCAACTTTTCAAGCAATAGGTGTTTGGTGTTCGACTCCCACTTGGTCTACTTCAGCCTTGGCAGTTAATTGTGTAGTGTGTCATCAGGTTATTATTATTGTTTCTTTTAGTTGCTAGAGGAACATAGGGCTTCAACCACACCTCTCCATTGCGTTCGGTTCTCTGACAAACTTTTTACCTGGCTCCACGTATGCACACATGTTTTCATCTCCTCTACACATGATCTCCTCCAAGTCACGTCTGGACGACCAACTCCCCGCCTCCCGTTCGGGTTTAACTCGAGCGATGGCCTGTGTAGTGATGTCACTTGATAGTTTCCTCAGAGTATGGTCAATCCACCTCCATTTCTTCCCACATATTTGTCGCACGATCGTTTCCTCGTCAGTTTGCTCCCAGAGATCCTTGCCGCTGATCTTTTCTGGCCGGCCATCTGATCTTGAGTGGTATTGAGTGAAGACAGCCGTTGATGAAGGTGTTTAGTTTGTTTGAGGTTTTCTTCATGATGCACCAAGTCTCCGATCCATATAATGGCACTGGTTTCACACTGGAGTTGAAAATCCGGATCTTAAATTCATTTTCATGCTGAGTGTTCTTGATCTCCACACGGATCCTCGTCAGTTCCGTCCGCCTGTAGTTGAAACGATGCTTCCCAGGTAGGTGGGTAGGTAAAGGAGGTTGCTTCTTTCAGATTTCTTCGATTTATGCTGATTGTTGTCTGTTGATTTTGCTGTTACTCTTCATCACCTCTGTTTTCGTTATGTTCACCTGAAGTCCGATCCTCCCTGGATGCTTCTTCTGCCAACTTGTTGCATGTCATCAATTGCATATCTTCCAGTTTGTGCTAAATCAGACATTTATCACATCGGCGAAGTCCATGTCCTCCAGGTTCAGGTGTCATCTAACGTCATCATGAAATATTTGTGTCTCACACAAACTCTGAGTTCTAAAGGTGAAAACCAACAAGCTGGCGAAAATGGCAGCCGACACACAACTTCAATGGGGGGGGAATCAAAAGAAAGTCGACTATTTCATCTATATAGACTGCATCGTTTCAACTATAAGCCGCACAGATGAGAATATCAAAGACAGTCTTCACCTGATTTGATACCAAAGATTAGGCTTCATAATATGGATCCCAACAGCCAGCCTCAACAATATTTAGTAGTCGAACTCTTAAGGCGAAATTGAGATCCGTAGGTATGCCGTAAATAACCCTGGAAGCATGCTTAACATCAATCTTGTATTCTGTATCCACAAGAGGAAATAGAATAGCGCTACAAATAGATTTTGTCTGTTCTTTGCTTAACCAACCACTTTGCAGGTTGATGTTTGGAAATCTGACGAGAAACACGCCTAATTATACGGTCTGTGCTACTAACTGACTGACTCCACAGGAGCGGTTAAATTGGTAGATACACAAAGAAGAGGCAAAATTAGGCAGTTCCTATTTTACTCGTGAACGCAAGAGATGAGTGATTTTGAAGACACAGCATAATTTGGCAGCAGGAAATGCTCTCCGTTTTACCGCATTTCCCAAGGCTTTGTGTTAGTATCTCGCTGATATTGTCCCCCATTGAAACTGCATTTGTAGGAATAAGGCCTTTTTTGGATCTACCAATTTAACCGCTCTTGTGGAGTCAGTCAGTTAGTAGCACAGACCGTATAATTAGGCGTGTTTCTCGTCAGATTTCCAAACATCAACCTGCAAAGTGGTTGGTTAAGCAAAGAACAGACAAAATCTATTTGTAGCGCTATTCTATTTCCTCTTGTGGATACAGAATACAAGATTGATGTTAAGCATGCTTCCAGGGTTATTTACGGCATACCTACGGATCTCAATTTCGCCTTAAGAGTTCGACTACTAAATATTGTTGAGGCTAGCTGTTGGGATCCATATTATGAAGCCTAATTTGTGCGTACAAAAGAAGTTAGTTCAGACATTATCCTTACCCCGTTGGTCGTCTAGGTTTGAATGATCCTGAATTTTTGTGAAATTTTCCTTATTTTAGTTGATATTCTATTTGCTACTATCTTTATTATTATTACTATTATAACTCAAGCATCTTTAATGAACTGTAATTCCTTTATTAACAATTGTCTTCGCTCTATACTGAAGATCAGATGGCTGGGTCGGAAAGAATCACCAACAAGGAACTACGGGAACAAACAAAGCAAGAACCAATCGCCAACCAACAAATATGCAGGAGAAGGTAGAGATGGATCGGACACTGGTTGAGGAGGCCGCTGGGTGACATGGCGCGTGCGTCAGGCCATTCCTTGAGTGGAACCAGGCCGAAGGGGAAGCGGTGACTGGGTCGTCGGTGCAAGGGTGACATGGAGGAGATCGTGTGAAAGGGAGTTGAAAGAGTATGGACTAACATGGATGCAAGTGAAAAGTACAGCAGAAGGGAGACAGAAGTGGCAAGTGGAGACGTGCAGTTGAAGCCTCATGTTCCACTAGGAACCCAAGGGAGCAATAATAATAATTCCGTCGTGTTTTTTCTTAACAAATCGATATTATTTAAAAAGCACACTAATATTGTTATTGACTACTAATCTAGAATATTCTGTGTATATAAACATATATGTATATATAATTGTAGGGCCAGAAGAGGAGGAAATTATCGAAAGGGGGATATTCTTCGCTCGATTATTTTATATTTTATAGATATCTTTGATCTGTTTTTGCTTTATTTATTGCTAATATTCTCCAATTTCTGTTCTCACTCTCTCTCTCTCTCTCATTATCTCTCAACAGATTTATTAGTAAAGTCAAATAACTCTTCTATTGTTCTGACTAATACAGCGGTAAACAATGACACTGGATTATTTATGTTATTCAATGAGAACACTAATACTACTAATATTACTAATAATACTACTAACAATGACGACAACAATCCTACCACGAATAACAATAACAATAATGATAATAAAAATAGCAATGAAGATGACGAAATGCCTAGCCAATCTCAGCAGAGTCCAAGCAGCTATACAGATGGGAACTATTGTGATAGTGGTTATCAGGATTCAGTCATCATCGCTGAACAATCTTTATTATCCTCCTTATCGGCAGAGCATTCACTCGATTTACAATTATCTCCAGTATTACTTATATCAGAAAATCAATCAACAATCGATTTATTAAATAATAATAATAATACTAATAATAGTAACAATAATAATAATGATGATCATAATATTATAACCCCTGATGACAACATGATCCCACTATCTAAAAGTACAGACACTACACTGAGAGATCAGTTGACCGAGGACAGCACGAATACAAATACTGCCAATCTGAGTAAAAGTCTTCAGTTTACTTATTCAAAGTTAGATACACCAAAACCTCTCCCCATCTCATCACCAACATCCCCATTGATATCGTCAGCATCCTCACTATCGAATAATTCAACAAGTACAATGGCAAGTTCAACAAATAGTAATACTGTAATGCTACTTCGTGATAATGCCGGTAAGTTTTATTCCATAATTGATATCGATTGGTGCTGCTTTATTCTCATATATAATATTATTTGCTTTAATTCCTAGAGGAACATCGGGCTTCAACCGCGCGTCTCCATTGCGTTCGATTCTTTGCCAACGTTTTCACCCCGCTCCAAGTCACCCCACATTCTTTGATCTCCTATTCACTTGACCTCCGCCATATCACCCTCACACTGACCACCGACTCGCCGCTTCCCTTTCGGGTTCCACTCGAGCCATGGCTTGTCTAGTGATGTCAGTCACTTGATGGTTTACTCAGAGTATGGCCGGCCAATCCATCTCCATTTCTTCCTGCCTATTTGTTTCACAATCGGTTCCTGGTTGGTTCGTTCATTCTCAGAGATCCCTGTTGCTGATGTTTTCTGGCCGGCCATCTGATCTTGAGCGGAGTACTGAGCGAAGACAACTGTTAATGAAGGTGTGAAGTTTGTTTGAGGTGCTCTTTATGACGCGCCAAGTCTCTGACCCATATAACAAGTAGCACTGACTTCACATTTGAGTTGAAAATCGGATCTTATTTTTGATGCTCAGTGCTGTTGATCTTCACATAGACTTGATAGTGATGAAACCTTATCTTGCTTTCCCGATTCTTGCTTTGATATCCTCGTCAGTTCTGTCCGCCTATAGTTGAAACGATGCTTCCCAGGTAGGTGGGTAGGTGAAGGAGGTTGTTTCTTTCAGGTTCCTCCCATTTATGCTGGCTGATTGTTGTCTGTTGTTGTTGCTGTTTGTGTTGGCCAGGAATCTTCATCACCTCTGTTTTCTATATTTTTCCCCATCTTCGGCCAATCTTTGATGCTTCTTCTGCTAACTTGTTGATTTTCACTTGCATATCTTCCAGTTTGTTGAAAATCAGACATATCATCGGCGGAGTCCAGATCCTCCAAGTTTTTTACGTGTGGATCCATTTTATGCCTGTTCCCTCATTGCCCGCTGTTTGTCGCATTATCCAATCTACTGCAATCAGGAAGATCATTGGCGATAGTAGGCAGCCAGCCTTGTCTCACTGCCATCCTCAAGGTCAAATTATTCCCATATATATATATATATATAATACTAAACACTATTCCGTACAAAAGTGATCATACACAGTGGAAACCTTCGGCATTACGTATTCAGACGAAAGAAAAATGAAAATATCCAGTTACCAGGTGGGCAGGAAAAGACGGATAACTACTTATTCTTTCTGATCGCATAAATCAGCTTTCAGGCGCTTGATGGAAATGGCTTCAGCAAACTTAAGGAGAATTGAGCTCTTTTGCCTATTGATAATTTTGAACGACTTTTCGACGTCCACCTCATGACCCGTGTCGAGGAGATGCCTGGCGATGGATAGCAGTGTTTAAAGCATTTTTTCCCAGCTGTAGACATAAGCGTTTTTGGTACATGTTCAGAAAATCGTAGATATGCCCTTCTTCTTTCTGTCCTTCCAATGTAACTGCTGCCGCAGATACATGTAAATTTGTATATACAGTTGGAGTTAACATGTGAAGGATATCTATCGACTTTTGACTGCACCAAATAGCAAGTTGTTCGATAGACGGAAGCGAGCTTGCCTTCAGGATAGGCTATGGCTAGTGACGTACTCAGTCTTCTGTTGACCATTGATGTATTGTTTTCACCTCCTCAATTTTGCTGAAGCCATCTTCATCAAGTGCCTGAAACCTGATTTGTGGATTCAGAAAGAAACAGTTATCAGTCTCTCTTTGTCCTCCTGCCTGGTAACTGGATATTTGCATCTTTCATCTTTCATCTAAACACGTAATCTCGAAATGGCATCATCTCGCGAAATTTGTCTTCTAAATGCCTTAATCAAATTTATCTAAGGGACTTATGTTTTCAAAATATAGAAATAATGACTTGACAGTGCTGAAAGAAGTCACTTCCTGCCTCCACTTATTTGGCCAGGAAGCATTCGGAACGGATAAAGATGTCATCAAAACAGGCCAGCCGAAATCGCAACTGCAAGATACGCCTTCATCAACCTGGCACAAGTTCGGAAGTCTTCCACTTCACTCAGTTAGCCAGCATAAAGAACAAGATTCTGATTCTGTTCAACACAAATATGAAGTAAGTCAGTCACTGCTTCTATACGGGTCAGAAACTCGCACTGCAAGACCGTCACGAAGATTTCTAACAGGTTACTGCAGACGTTTAATCAACAGCTTCCACCTTCGCTGGCTGTTTCCATACTGAAGATCAAATGGCTAGCCAGCAGGCCTGAAAGAATTTGCAACAACAAACTCTTCAATGGAACAAAACAACAGGCGAGAGCCGATAGCTCAACAATTAGATATGTAGGAGAAGACAGAGATGGACTGATCGCACATATGTTGAGGAGGTCGTTGAATGACATCTCGCGCATTGCAGGCCAGTCCTCGAGTGGAATCCTGATGGGAAGCGACGATTGGCTTGTTCTATAGAGGGTGACTTGGAGGAGATGATAGATTATGGTCAGACGTGATGCCAGGCACATGGACAGGAAAGCAGAGAATAGGAGAAAGTGGAGATGTGTTGTTGAAGCCCTATGTTCCACTCAGAACCCAAAGAAACAATAAGAATAAGCTTTCTTTTATCACTCTGAAACTAAATATTCTCTGATCTCTAATTCTCCAATCAAATTTAGAATTCGCAAAGTAAATTAGTAAATTGATTGAATTTTAGATTTTCCCGTCAATTGATTGGATCGAAGTGCTCGGTTTCAGGTTGATATGTTGACTTCTTGTGCAGATGCTTCGACGATGTCTGGGCATTTAATTTAATTAGTGGATGGTGACTAGCAGTGGAATCCAGGATTTGCATTTCGTCCTATTTTGGACTCGTGGTCAGCTGGATGTACTTGCATTTCCAGTGGGTGATGATGTTCCTGGGTTCGAGCCTCAATGGGAACATCATCACTCACTGCGGAATGCAGGTACATTCAGCCAACTGATGAGTACCAAATAGGACGAAATGCACATCCTGGATTCCACTGCTAGTCACCATGCACCAATTAAATTCTATATAAGTAGTTTGCAAGTATAAAACATTTTGAGATGAATTTTCACTTCAGTTTAATTTGAACAACAAAAATATTCAGATCGCTATTTGTTACGTGCTTGAAACGATAACAATCACGATCGAGTAAGCAAACATTGACACTTGAGGGTATATACTACTGATTAATCTATATGAGTAGTTGACTGCCACTCATTTCAGTCTGTAGTGCTTGTTAGCCGGATAGAAGTGATTAAAAAACACATCGGATGGCTGTTTCACTTGTTTAAGGCGTGACTTCACCAATGATGCACGCTGATTCCGCTCTCGATTCATACCATCTGAATTCTTCATCTATTTATTTACATCCAAAGTCACTAATGAGTAACCTGAGTATCAGAAGAACTTCAGAGAAGCACATATCCGCCTCATTCTATTCTCTCTTGTCTTTTGTAGCTGGCTTGACAACGGCTTATACACTTTCATTTCCACCACACATATTCTCCTCTGTGTTACCCTGGGACGCACGCTCAAGTTGTCGTTCTCCATTTGGGTTCTACTGGAGAGTCTGTTTGGCGGATGTTGTCGCTCAACCATATCCTCAGAGTATGTCCTTATTTATCTACTTTGTCTTCTGCATATTTGTTAGGCAACAGGCTCTTGGTTTTGATATATTTCCAGAGTTCTTTGTCGCCTAACCCTTTTGATCATCTTCAGTGTGGAATGGAGGCAGCTATTAGAATTGTTCAACTGATTCAATAGAGACACATCTGCTGATTATGCTACGAAGGTTATTCGCTAGAGCTTATTTATATGTCCGTTGTAAAGGCTATCCCTATTATTTGCCGTGTATTAGTCAAATAAGGGTATCAGTATTTGAAAAAAATATCCTCCGTCGATAACCGTCACCTTAAACAGCCTTTTGCTTAGTTTTATAGGGGTTATGTCAGAAGTGATTAATGAGCAAGCCTTTTCTGTCACTTAATCTACCATGATCCCAAACTTTTGCCTACCTCTTGGGTTTTAATTCTAGTGAATGGTTCACTCTCATCACCTTTGCATGTTCTTTCTGTACGCCTCATTTGTCATGTGTCATTCTCACCATCTTCATACTTATCAGGTGGGTATGTGATCGATCAGCCTCCATCTGATCTAATAGTACTCATCACTTTGTCAAATTTAAAGCCCTTGCTTGTGTTGTTGTCATCGATGGTTATGTCATCTGTTTCCATCTTTAGGAACCACTTCTTCTGAGTAACTATATCAACGGTAAACAGCTTTATGTGTAAAACTTGAGCAATGTGGTGGTAGTATGTAATTCCATATTAATTTGTTTATTAGATATATCACACACATACACACAGGGAAACGGCATTATTTATTAGATGTTCTTTCGTTTTATAGTTTTCTTTATTCTTTGCTATTCGTCGTCGTAGGGGTAGTAACATTTTCCAAATATCCAGGTGGACAGCTTTTGAATCATGCCTATTACACGTGTTTGCAGTTGATTCAATAAATCGAGCTCGTGTTATTGATTCTACTCCCTACAACCCTACAAATTAGATTTCAAAACTGTCATCATCTTGTCCTGTCCTATATTCTGTGGTTGTGTGTGTAGACTAAACAACGAAAGAAGATAAAACCAACATCATCCACAAAATAAATTGTAACTACTGCGAAAAACACTACATTGGCCACAGTGGACGCGCCCCTTCTCCTCGTCTTCGTATCCATGATCATCAACTAGTCGTCAAAAGACACGACATCCACTCCTTCGAATCGCCTCACTGCATACAGACAACAAAAACGACATCAATTCGACTGGAACAATCAACGTTCAAATATTAGACAGAGGAAACAACAAGAATGTTAGAGAATTTTTAGAAGCCCGCCTGATATTCCAGTGAGTCGTCAATCAATAGACACATCGACATCAACAAAATTTTCCAATCGATTAAAAAGAAATCTCTCTCTCACACACACACACAAAGGGTCAAAGTTCAAGTCAAAGGAACAATCAGATCCAATACACAGGTAGTCTAAGGGATGTGAAAACACACGGAATCAACCAATCACGTTCAATGTGGACAGCAGGAGAGATGACTAATAAACTCGTGGAAAAATCTAAAAGCTCATTTCTACAAATTGAAGTGTATGCGCTGAAGATGTCACGTAGTAGTAGTAGGGCAATGAAAGCTTCGTAAATTAACTATCCAGCCCAGAGAACACAACCAGATCAAAATGACTGGTGAGTGTCAATAACCACGAAATTGAGATAAGACAAGGCTTCCTGCTCACTGCCTCCACCAATCTTATATTAATTATTAGATAATATGGAAGTTAATTAATTGTTAAGCTACTCACTAACTAACTAACTAACTAACTAACCAATCAGCCTAATGACTCCTATTGTTACAGGAACTGAAGAAGGGATGAAACATTCTTTCACAACATCAGAACATACGGAAAGGAAATGAAGAAACACTAAAGGTGGAACAGGTAACAAAGTTCAATACACAACATAAATTTGTAGGGATTTGATTGTTTACAGGATTTCATCATGAGCTGACATTAGTTAGAGAACTATTGGAAAACCTGGGAGTACTGGACAGCTGTTTCGTCAGCCCAGTTTGGGACTATTCAGTAGTACCTACCCATTGGGGTTCTAAACCAGGACCTTCTGGTTACATGGCGAGCTCGTAGACCATTGAGTCACTGGGACCCGATTCAATAGCCAGCCCATGAATTCTTACTTCTGCCAATTCACGACATAGCGCTTCCATTTTGCAATGTCGTCGGAGAGTACTTATCCTCCCGATCTGCTGCACCTTACTGGTCAGTGAGAATTTGTGACCAGTAGGGTGTAGCAGGTCGAGTGTGAGGACAAATACTTGCCGAAGACATTGGCTAGTGGTCGCGCTATGTCATGAATTGGCAGAAGTCAGGATTCATGGACCTGTCATTGGATCGGGTCACAGTGGCTCAATTGTCTACGAGCTCGCCATGTAACCAGAAGGTGCTGGTTTCGAACCCCGGTGGGTACGTACCACTGAAGAGTCTCAAACTTGGCCGACGAAACAGATGTCCAGTACTTCCAGGTTTTCCAGTAGTTCTCTAACTAATATCAGCTCATGATGAAATCCTGTAAACAACATAAATAATATTGAGATATTCAATATTGTGATTGATTTGAAGTTGTTATGTCGGATACAATTATTATGATTACCGTTACTATCGTTAGTACTAGTAGTCGTAATAGGAATAGTCATGAGTAGTTTATGCACTGCTAATTCGTTTAATTATCTTTCGTAATGTTTTACAGTCTTATTTCATCTTTTCACAATGCATATGGGCGTAAGTTTCCACTAAGCGTGTGTGAAAAGGGTTGCTTTCACCATGTTATCAAGAATAAAAACCACTAAACACTTACAACTATACATTCTATAAAAATACATATGCTATATATCACAATTTGTGAACTACACTCTGTTGCGGTTGTGTGTTCTCCAAGTGGATTAACACACACATATATATCAATCAAACATCTGGTGGGACATGGGTTTCTTTTCACTGAGTGAATACACATTTCTCTGCCTTTTTGCACTTTATCTAACAGTGAGCACAAGTTTGTTTTACTGTTTTTGGCATGCACTTTGATGTGTCTTTTGTATGCATTTTACTGTTCACTCCTGTGTTGTTGTTTTTTGAAATATCGAGCTGTTGTTATCCCTTCATGTCATCATCAGGATTCAATTACTGCATCTCTCTTCAACGCTGAATCTCAGCTGGTAAATGTTTCGTTATCACAAAAAGGGTATCACTTTTAAAAGCAGTTCACAATGTATAATATCATGTTTAAATCAAAGGTATTTTGCAATTAATAGTGTTATCTGAAAAGCTGGTTGGTTTAGTTGCGGAGCTTTCGTCGTCCCCCCTGCTGGACAACATCTTCAGGGCGATTTTTAGCATAAAGTGAAATGATTTAAATTTTCTTCATGAGTGATATAATTGCGTCTCCCGGTAACCATCTTTACATATGCATTGATCATTTTCTATTGACTTGGATTTTAAACTTTCTGATCACCTGACTTACTTTTTATTGGTTGTTATATCTGGTCTATATTAACGTGTTAGTTAATTGCGTATTCGTTTGAGGACCAGGTTTCTAGGAATTCCCTGACTTCACTTTTGGTGTTTACTCTGTTTAACATTTCGACATTCTCTCAATCAGAGTGATGTCCATAATTGTCTATATGCATTGATACTAAAAAATATATATCGTGTCTTTTTCTCGGCTGATTTGTATTCCTGGATTCTGATTCGAAGGGGACGCCTACTTTGGCGGATGTAATGTCTGTTATAGTTTATACATGCAATTTATTTTGTAAATGATATTAATTTTATCTCCTTTTTCTATTGGATCTTCCGGTCTGCATAATATTGAATTAAGCAAATTGACTGGCTTGTGTGCTATATCTATTTCAAACGGTTTCAGTATTCTAGCTGTTATTGATTGGGATAATGTCGAAATCTTAGACAGAGGAAACACCAAAAGTGCAGTCAGGGAATTCCTAGAAGCCTGGTACGAATATGCAATTAACAAACACATTAATATAGACCAAATATACCAACCAATAAAAAGTAAATCATGTGACGAGAAAGTTTAAAGTCCAAGTTAATAGAGAATGATCAATACATATGTAAAGATGGTTACCGGGAGACGCGATTATATCACTCATGAAGAAAATTTAAATCATTTCACTTTATCCTAAATACTGCGCTGAAGATGTTGTCCAGCAGGGGGACGACGAAATCTCCTCAACTAAACCAACCAGCTCTTCAGATAACACTACTAATTGCAAATCATCTACCTGAGCTACGAATCTTCTCTAATATTTCAAAGACATTTTATCACTCCCTAATTGGGAGAACCATTTCGTGATTTTGTCAATTTCCAACATCAAATGTCCTCTTAATTATTGTGGCCTTAAGAATGTAAATTGATTTTCAGTCGTTTTATATGATGAGCTACTTTTGGGGATTGTGGAACCTGACGATACATTCGACGATAGAACACATAGAAGTGTCATGTATCCCTCAGTCCTTCGACTATGTGGTAATATTCTGATGGTAGTAACACTCTATGATTGACTTTGACAGCTGAAGTAGCCAACACGAAGGGGCCTTAATTCTTCTGAGCCATTATATTACTCTTATTAATAATCTCTTGAGTTTCGAGTGAAATATGGAGCTTCGACTGCACTCCTCTTTTTTCTGGCTTCACAATTGTCTATAAGCTCTTATCTCTTATTCGTACGACCTCCTCCACAGCATCAGCGAAGTCAACCAAACTCGTCGTTTTCCGTTCGGGTTCAACTCAAGTGTCTGCCCCTCGGGCATGATGTTTCTTAATGGTCTCCGCTGAGTGTGTGTCCAATGCATCTTCATTTTTCATATGACTGTTACATGGTGTATATATTTGCAATATGCGCTAGGCAAACTTAAGCTATCATAGATGAAGTCGCAGCGACCCTGAACAACCAATCAGAATTCAAACACAAAGGTCACATAAACTTTGAAAAATGCACCAGAAAACATGGCAAACATAATATGTTACACCATATAATAGTCGCTAATGAATTGTAAGAAGGTCTCTCATTTACTACACAGATGGTGTGTAGAGAAATCGTGGCATATGCTATAGATGCGTCCCTTCAATAATTTAATAATTCCCATTGTAGCATTAAGAACACAATTTTGATGAGGTTGTGTTCTCTGAGCTGGATACTTAATTTGCGAAGCTTTCATTGCCCTCTTTACTAGGCAACCTCTTCAGCGCATACACTTCACTTCGATGAAGTGAGCTTTCAGATTTCTCTACGAGTTTATGAATCATTTCTCCTGATGACCACCTTGAACGTGACTGGTTGTTTCTGTGTGTTTTCACATCATAGGTTTCCAGACCGTAGGTGTTACGAACTTCCTGGAATAATTTGAGCGCCGAGTCAGATTGATTCATTATAAATTGTTTAAATTAATCCCAGCGTGTTAAGATAATCAAAACAAGGTTTTTCACATCCTTTAGGCTACCTGTGTATCGGAACTGATTGTTTCTTTGACTTGAACTTTGACTCTTTGTGTGTGTGAGGTTTCTTTCTTATCGGTTGTTAAATTTTGTCTACCACGATATGTCTATTGATTGACAATTCACTGGAATGCCAAGCTTCTAAAAATTCTCCAGTCAAATTGGCTGGGACAACGTTCAAATATTAGACAGAGGAAACAACAGGAATGTTATAGAATTTTTAGAAGCCCACCTAGTATTCCAGTGAATCGTTAATCAATAGACACATCAAGATGGACAAAATTTACCAACCGATAAGAAGGAAATCTCAAACACCCAAAGGGTCAAAGTTCAAGTCAAAGGAACAATCAGTTCCAATACACATGTAGCCTAAAGGATGTGAAAACACACAAAATCAACCAATCATGTTCAAGTTCACCCAGCAGGAGAGATGACTAGTGAATCCGTGGAGAAATCTAAAAGCTCACTTGATCAAATTGAAATGTATGCGCTGAAGATGTCACGTAGTAGTAGTGAGGCAATGAAAGCTTCGCAACTATAAGCTATCCAGCTCAGAGAACACAACCAGATCAAAATCTTCCACCTGAGCTACAAATCGCCATCATATCTAAGACCAAAATATTCAGCGAAGAAACTCTCTCCAACAACGAATTTATTATCAAGCTGTACAATTGTATATATATGGTTTTTAATAAATTATATCCGGTGAGGGAATAAGGTCAAAGGTGTGAATGCATAAAATAATAGTAATAGTATGAAATGCAATTAAAATATATGTGATTATTATCGTAGTTAAATGTCAACTGGCAAAGTTTTGCCATTTAACTACGATGATATATAGAATAATTCATAAGGTGTATAGATTTTGGAAAGGGATACATAATTATAAGACTAGTAGACGAATATAAAATGTTACATAACATGGTGTGAAATTGAAAAAGATAGAATTCAATATTGTAAAAATAAAAATAAATAATTTTGCGTTTAGAATGACAAGTGGAAACAATTCAGGGTGAGAATAGTACCAGTAATAATAATAATCGAAGTAATAAGGGAAAGGTACATAGAACAACTAAATAAACAAAATACATAAATAAATGTCTATCCCTCTGCGGCCAAGGCAGAAGTAGGGATTGGACATACTTCTTTTGTGAACAAAGGTCTGGCTTAAAGTCATGAATGCCCAAGGCCTCAGCTGTCTTTAGAAGTCTGTAACGAGGAAAACGAGGCCAGATAGTTAGCATGGATTCTATACATGATCTTGAAATCATGGCCAAGATTGACAGAGTGACGGAAGTCGATCAGATGTTCCAGAATAGAGCTTCGCATACACTTGTTTTCTCCCTTGTGAAACCATGCCGGAATATGTTCTGGTATCCGTGTGGAAAGCGTCCTTTGACTACGGTAAATGTACCTTACTCTACAATGATATATGCACATGGAGGCGGACAGACGGGGAAGCTTATGTTTTACAGAGTTAAATAACAACTTGCGGCTGGTGAACGTCATTTGTAATTCTGCTGCAAAGAACGTCTTACTGACTGATTTAGTTAGAGAGACGGTTTTTGAGCATATCTGAAGCTTAATCACCTTTGGATTCCAAATTCATGAATAAGGTTTTCTTTGGAACTGAGTCGGTGAACAGTTTAGACTGCTTACCTTTCGTGTCACGATCAATAAATCTGCCCTAGTAACCGTTTTTTGCGAGCGTGGCTTTTTAGGGAGTTGCGTTTTGAGTCAACCCAATCAGAACTACAAATGAATTAGGTTCATTTTCCTGAAGACAGGCTCGCAACTATAAAATTAATTAGTTGTTCATTCCATGTACGTTACCGGTGGATGGATCTTTTGAGAGATCCATCATTACGTTTACCAATGCATACATCAAGAAACGTAATACTTAGTAATAAGGTAAGTAATGTTGACGTTAGGCGTAGAGTGTTGGGCAAAGAGGGAAAATCAATCGACGAGGTTATAAAGTTACATAGACTAAGATGGCTAGGTCACGTGGTGCGCATGCCTAACCACCGCCTCCCCCGACGGGCATTGTTAGCTGATATAGGTTCAGGTTGGAAAAGAGCCAGTGGTGGCCAAACAAAAACATGGCATCAATCCATGAAATCCTTGACAGTTAAACTGAGTCAGGTAGGGAGATGCAGATTTACGGGTTGGGGCCCTCGGGACTCTAGGAATCAATGGCTGGAGACAATAGGTGACATGGCTCAAAATCGTTGTCAATGGCCAGCGCAGATGTATTCAGTCTCTGTAATCTTTCATATTCCTTTCTACCATTACCCATTCTGTTTCACTCTTATATTTGTCAAACTCTATTAATTCTCTCCACTCATCTTCTTGTCTACCTCTGTGTGCTATTTGGAAGGTGGCAACTCGAACTGCTGCACTTCGGTGCCAAGTTCTATGTTGAATCCAGACAGACAGACAGTAATACTTAGTTCAGATTCTTTTTCTATGGTGAATTGCAAAAAAGGATGGCAGTTGCTGAAAGCAAATAAGACATCATCAAGAATTAAGTAATTGTCGCAGATAACGAAGGTCTCGTCTACTTATCTTTTTTAGATGTCGAAATGATCGATGGCTTGACTAAGTTGAAAGTTTTCAAGCTTTGCCATAAAGCAATCAGCTGGCACACGACGGGCAATGTTAGCTGACATTAGGGTCACCCTGGAAAAGAGCTAGCGGCGGTCAAACCAAAACATGGCTTCACCAGTCAATGAAACCTACAACAGTTAGTTTGAGTCACGTAGGAAGGTATAGACTTCCTGGTTGTGGTCCTCGGGACGGTAAAAACCAATAGTTGGAAACAATTGGTGATATAGCTCAAAATCGTTCTCAGTGGCTGGAGCAGATGCATCCACTCCTTGTGATCTATGATTTGCAATGAAACCACATTGTTCTTCGTTACTTCTATTTCTTTGTCTCACATCTCTGTTTACTGTCTCTATGGTGCATTTCTTGCACTTTCTTCTCTTGCTTTGTGTGCTACAAAAAGGGCGTGTGGCGACTTGAACTGGTGCACATCAGTGCAAAGTTCTATGTCGGAAACAGACAGACAGAATCAGCCTGCAAAGGAACCCAGTGGTGATCCCATCGCAATGCTCTCTCTTTGTCTAAAAATTTCATTATTGAAGGTGAACTGACCATTGAACGTGCATCTCAATAAAAATTCTTTTAGGTAGATTGTTGGCAACCCTATTTCATCCGAGTGACTGCAGATCATGGTACTCTGAGATTGACTGATATTTTATGCAACCTACTCCCAACTCTAACTCCTAATACTCCTAACTTTAACCTTATTTTTAACCTTAACCTAAACCCTAAAATACCTGGTGAATAATTAGAATAGTGAATCAACCGTCACTGAATCCAAAAAGGCAGGCATGATTTGATTTGGAATAACCTTTCTCCGAGTTCCCTGGATCTGACTGGTTCTCGAAGGTCACCTTTTAGCAGACCTTGACTCTGGCTATGATACTTTAACTTCACCATGCGTTAGAAAAAAAAACAGTTCGTAGTCATTCTGCCTCAAAATATTATGATGCTTGGGCTATCTTATCAGTATCTTTTTCGTTTAATCCAAGTTACAGAATTTCATCATGTGCTGACATTGGTCAAAGAACCATTGGAAAATTCCATTATGTGTAAATTTTTGTTTTGATAAAGTTTCTGTTATGTACTCGTCGCTAAATTATTGTTATGGACTGGTCGAAAATTTAATAGTCCTGACGCAAGAAGGCGGAAATCAGAAGACCACTAGGTTTGCGATGATACTTCTATTTTCCAAACACAAGGAGAATGCAAAAGTGGTATCACACCAAAGTAGTAAGTAAGTGTAAGTCACACAAGATTGTGACAGCGAAATATATATGAAATGTTCCAGACAAAGTGTGTGAACAAATCAATAGACAGTCTTAACATGAATGGCTAATTATAATGAAGTATCGATCCATATATACATAGCGAAATATAGCAGACATGTCAACAACCACACATATAATATGGATATATGTCACCAAGCAACGGACTGTCAACAAACACTCATATTATATATAATATAATATAAGGAGAATATACATTGTTAAAGGAGACAAGTTCATACAAGTGAAATGGTCACAGACTAAGCGAGCAAACAGAAAGAGAGACCAACATATATATATATATATATATATATATATAAATGGATACATATCAGTCTCACAGTGTTATACAGTAAACATTAACTGTTAACAGTAAACATCACTGTATAACACTGTGAGACTTTATCAAAACAAAAATTTCCACATAATGGAATTATACTCTACCACAGTGCACAAGTTTTATTCTTATATCAACCATTGGAAAACCTAAGAGTACTGGACAGATGTTTCGTCCCAGTTTGGGACTCTTTATCAGTACGCAACCACTGACGAGGTTCAATCCCAGGACCTTCTGGTTACAAAGCAATACCATTAAGCCACTGGGACCCGATCCAGTGGCCAACCCATGAATTCTAACTTCTGTCAATTCATGACATAGCGCGACCACTAGCTAATGTCTTCGGAGAGTACTTGTCCTCACAACCGACCTGCTGCACCCTACTGGTGACTTAACCTATTCAGGTAGGTAGTTACCTGGGGTTGTAGCGGGACGTCGTGACCAGTACTTTTAGGTTTTCCAATGGTTCTTCAACCAATGTCAGCTCATGATGAAATCCTGCAACCAATCAAATCCCTACAAACTAACACTTGAAATCCAAGTTATTTTAACGTCATTAAATCTTTGTTTTTTATTTATTTTAGCTTTCAATCGAAAATTATACAATTCAAATATGTCTACCGCTTTAAATATTCCCAATACTAATCACAGCCTAACCAATCCCAGTCAACTCAGTCAACTTGGTTATCGTTCACCCAGTGATCCAGATGTATTTCTCACTTTCTGTGAAGATTCAATAAGAAAATCATCCGGTATAAGACAACCAATTTCCCAGGCTAATCGACATTTACATCATGGTGAGAATCAGCCTTCATCGACGTCACCACCACCGATACCGATGTCTATGCCACAATGCCAACCGCCAACATCTAACATCACTTCTACACGTGGTGGTAATTTCGCTCCAAACGGTATGATGAAATTAATGATGATGAGCACTTTATCAGATTCATTTAAATATCATCTTACTCGACAGAAATCAGAAGGTCAACTGCTGACAGATCGTCATGATTCATTTGATGAAGTTCTATGGGATTTACAACCAACTCCTTTATACTGAGAAGAAATAACGCGGGTGGGGGAATTCAAATTATATTCATCCGTTCAAACAAAAAGATACGCATATATTGAACATTGAATTGAAACAGTAAAACTATTGATTAAAGAATAATTGATTAGGTGTGAGATGAAGATTCTAGAACATTGATTAAAATATCTATGCATCTATCTATCTATCTATCTATCTATCCCAACTGTCATAACCTTTTTTCTATGCTAGGGAGAAGAAATGTCCTATATTTCATTGACACTGTGATAAATTCCCAGAATTCATCAGAATTTATTCCCACCAGTTTTCTAAATTATGTTAAACCCTGTCTCTATTATTAAACTAACATATGAGGTCTAACAACATCTGACAGTGAGGAAATGTCAATAAAATTTTTTAAAAATGAACTGAAAACCTTTTTTGTCCCGCTTCCCTTCCTCCCTTCTTTCATTTCATCACCGTTTGACATTGACACTGGTTTTCAAATTGCTCACATTATTCAACGATGCATCATCCTGTTTTCCCGCCTATTTCATTGTTTCAATGACAATATTGAATATATATATATATATATATATATATATATATATATATATACATACATATAATTTAACTAAACTATATAAACGCTCAATATTTAACTTTGTTTGTCACCGGTGCTCTGGCACGTTTTCACACACATATACAACACATAAATTAACTAACCAACTAACCAACTCGTTAACTAACCATGACGTTAATAAATTCTTCCATCATTTATAACTCTCTCTTGTATCTCTCACTTTTCCGAATTTTTCCATACTTTTTATTCAACATTCAATTGTTCAAGCATATATATATATATGTTGAGTAGCGCAGTTGATTAAGATTTAAACAAGATTGTGAATGAGAATGCCTATGTTTTAATCGAGACTTTATATTACCTGGTTACTGTATTTGTAAAATATTACCATTATATACCTCCCACCCCCCACCCCCACCGATTTATTACATCATCACCAGTATCATCATAAAGCACTACTCCCATCGGACATATGCCCATATACAATATATATATATATATATATACATAGATCATGTCTATAAGACTTTTATTATGCAATAGTATTCAATTAAGTCATCTTATCATTCATTACCGATTGTGCGTTCTCTTTTCTCTTTCTCTCTCTCTCTCTTGTGTTTCGTGTTCTCTTCCCTCCCCCTACTCCTTCTTATTCAACTGATAAAACCGGAAAAAAACAAAATAAAATCATGATTTTCCATCTTCATATTACAGTTGAAGTATTCAGACTTGTATTGTGCACGTGCGTGAGTGTGTGTGTGCGTGTGTGTGTATGTGTGAATTTGTAAGCGCTATAACCAACCTTTGAGGCAATACTTGAAGATGCCTTCTTCCACCTCTTCTTCGTGTTCTCCTTCTTTGTTACCATGGCAACAAAACCTATACCTGAAATATTCTTTGCTCGCGCCTTTACTTCTTCAACTGCTGCTCCTTTACTTTATAATATTACACAGATTGAATGAATTGATAAATTTGTGATATGCATAAACATAAAATAAAACGTCAACCTTGTTTTCTTTTTGAAATGTCTTGTGTACCTCTTTTTTTTTTCTCCTGGGTTTTTATTGATTATTTTTTACATAATGAATAGTATCATTGTTTCTCCTGATACGTGTGTGTGTGTGTTGTGTATCGCAAATAATTTTCCCGTCGTTTTCTTAATTTTCTCATTATTTCTCAATGTGTAATCTTTGTATACTCTTTTGGTTCATTTTCTTTTTTTGCCTATGGCCCTAGAGATATTATTAAAAAAAAATACAGCTACTGAAATCATTCATACTACTGATATATAATAATATACACGAGTTGTTCTTTATTCATGTCTTTGCTTTCCTGAGGGGAACACACGGGGTCTTCAAACTTTGAAGTTTAAGTAGCGATGGCGTTGATTTTATACGCCGTGGTGGTGGGGGTTTGCTAGACTCACGCCTGACTTTTTAAATTTTCTGGTGAGGTTTAGGAGTACTTTGCCTGGAGGTCGAACTCCTGACCGTGTGTGGTGTATTTATTTATTTAAACGCATAAAAACTTGGTACAATATGTCACCAAGAAGGATGCACCACACAATAATAGTAAAACGACATAGATCAAAAGAAAAAAAGAAAGAAGAGAAATATATATATAAGTAGAGTACGGATAAAGAACTTCATCTGGAAGGAAGTTCAAACAGTATTGGTTAACTATCATCAGGAAGGGAAGAAAGAAGGAAATTGCAACACGTGTAATAGCACGCGATAAGTTTCATTGATTGTTTGTTGCTTCATTCAATTCATTGTGAGAGGGCTGAGATACTGCCCAGGCGCCCAGACCGAAACAGGTGGTTTTATTAAAGGACCACCCCCCGAACCTTTGACTTGAAGTCTAATCCACAAGGCAGCGCAGCAGCGTCAGGAGCTGCATTCCCATGGTTTCCGGTGACCCATATGCTATCCAAACAACCTTCCTGACATGGTAGGACCTGTAGGGAAAGAGTCCCAGTCAGTTTAGCATGTTAGGTCATTACGGTATTCAAACCCGACCACCACGACAAGGTAGCAGTTATCGGCTGGGCCGTGTGGTGTAGTTGATGAGTAGTCTACCACCTGTGAACTACTGACGCACACAGAACACTAGTATTATGATACTACTTATTTGTATTTGGTTATCACTGTCTATTATCACCGCTGCTATTCTTAATTATAGTGAACTGGATTATGCGTCAGACTGTAAGTGTAGAATAAGAAGACACAGGGATACTTTGGACAGATAGGAAGACTCTAAAAGATATGGATTTCGCAGATGATTTATGCTTACTGTGACACACTGATATGTATCCATTTATATATATATATATATATATATATATTTATGTGTGTGTGTATGTTGGTCTCTCTTTCTGTTTGCTCGCTTAGTCTGTGACCATTTCACTTGTATGAACTTGTCTCCTTTAACAATGTATATTCTCCTTATATTATATTATATATAATATGAGTGTTTGTTGACAGTCCATTGCTTGGTGACATATATCCATATATGGTGGTTGTTGACATGTCTGCTATATTTCGCTATGTATATATGGATCGATACTTCATTATAATTAGCCATTCATGTTAAGACTGTCTAATGATTTGTTCACACACTTTGTCTGGAACATTTCATATATATTTTGCATTCACAATCTTGTGTGACTTACACTTACTTACTACTTTGGTGTGATACCACTAATTGTGTCTCCTTGTGTTTGGAAAATAGAAGTATCATCGCAAACCTAGTGGTCTTCTGATTTCCGCCTTCTTGCGTCAGGACTATTAAATTCTCGACCAGTCCATAGCAATAATTTTGTCGACGAGTACATAACACACACACACACAAACTCGGAGACTTACAGGCGAAAAGCAACAAAGTGGCTGAAGAAGCTGGCAGCATACACAGGACTCCAGGTGAATATAGAGCAGATGAACGTGATGAAGATAACCAACCAACCAACCAACAGCAACAGTAACAACAATCAGCATCGATCACCATCAACGGGATAGATTTGACAGAGATCGGTCACTTCCTTCACTTATCCAGACAGGAAGCAATTTGTTTTGAACCAGAGGTGAATACCACAGATAAAGATATTAAAGCCAGTCCACAAGAATTAGAAAGGCAAGATATGATGCCTTCATCAATCTGAAACCAGTTTGAAAATCTTGTGCTACACTCACTTAGCCAGCCAGTGTAAACAGTAAGATTCGGATTGTGTTCAATACCAGTGTAAGATCAATTCTATTCCCATCCTTGAATCAAGTCAACCTGTCCCGGATCAGCCTAGCGTTGTTGCAACCCAATTATCCATGCCTAACGTGTCTATCCCTGCTTGTTTAATGAACTGTGTGTATTATATGTTTTTACCTCGATCCGTTTAGTCAGACAGTTGAACTCATGGCCCAATCAAAGTATTTTGTGAACTGTTATTTTTGCTGACCCATGTCTAACTTTGTACTACTCTGTCGAGTTTATCTTATTTATTGATTTTCATCTGTATTTTCCTACTTGGTTAGGTAGCCAATTAAATTCTATCTTTGTGCCTATGCTCGGTCTATCTCTTAACCTGCCTTACTTGGGTTCATTCTTCTACTGACTGCTTACCTGAACGGTCGTGTCTGATTCCGGCTAGTTCGCAATTTTGGCTTTAACGTTATTCCGCCCTGATAGCGGTACCTTGCTTTCTGTTAAGCGTTGTGCTTTGTACTCTTGAAACCGTTAAGGTTTGTTGTATACATAATTATTGATTTGTTTATTAATAGTACCGTAGAAACAAAGACCGGCTTCTTGTTTGTTCTGGACCGGGATAGCCTTTATCTACGCGTGATTTAATTTTAAGCGATATTGCGCTTACAACCAGTGTGAAGTTAGTCAGTCACCTCTCTTATATACGGGTTGGAAATTTGCACTGCGCGTCCTTCATGAAATGGATTTTCAACGAGTTACAGACATTCATCAACGTCTTTCTCCTTCTCTGGCTTTTGTATTGAAGATCAAATGGAGTCAGCCAGTCGGGCATGGAGAACTCGCAACAAGAAACTCTGACTGGGGACAAAACAAACAGATGAGAGCCAACTAACAACTCAACAAATTGATATGTAGGAGGCAACAGAGATGGACTGGTCTGGCATACGCCACTGGAGAGGTCGTTGAATGACATCACGTCGTGTGCAGGCTAGAGCTTGAATGGAGTCTTGATGAGAAGCGACGGATAGGTGGTCATCATTACGAGGGTGACATGGAAGAGATTGTGTAAGTTGATGGAGAAGGCGATGAGAGATTATCGTCAGTCATGGGGCTGGCTAAAGAAGACAACAGGGGAATGAACAATATTGAGATATGTTGTTGAAGCGCAGTATTCTACTTGGAACCCAAGAAAATAATATTGATATAGAACAAGTGCAGTCAGTCACACTAGCCGAGCATAGAAACTTGGCAGCAAAATCTAGATTAGTTGACCCAAATATGATAAGAAATCTAGAGAATAGTTCAGCTATAGCACTCGCTACATGCAATTACACACAACCATACACTATAGGATGGGATGGGATGGGATAGGATAGGATGACAATTTTAAAATCTAATGTCACATAGTTGAGGGAGAGATTGATAACAGAAGCTTTGTTTATCGAATCAACTGAATGAAAATACATGTAATAGGAATGATTCAACACTTGTCTCAGATATTTGGAAAATTCCACTACCCCTACTACTACGACAAATAGGAGAGAACAAAGAAAACTACAAAACTCAAGTTTTGAAGTTGGGTGATCATAATTGATGAAATGATTATGAACAATAATAGATTGTGTTCGAAACTGTGTCATCCAGCAAATAATACTGTTCCATTGTGTGTGTGTGATATATCTAATAAACAAACTAACATGGAATAAGGTTATTGATTTGAAGTCAGTTAGTTATGTAAAGCTGTTCTTGCGCGTACTTTATGAAACTGACTAAAGTAAATGGCATGGGATTCTTACCTAGAACCTACTAATTAACTGTTTAGTTGAATAAGCCACCCTACCACTGAAATATCGTGATGATAATATCAGTATGGTTGAAGCATTGAAATGTTCCAGTTTTTTCTGAGATAGTCATAGGCATGTGAAACAATGTGGTCAATTAAGACATACATAGGACCAGAGGGCAAAGTTAAACTTTAAGTACCACTAACTACCAATCAACGAACGACCTTCAACCAATCAATCACATGAGAGAGGGATTTTTGATTAAGGAAAACGTGTATTTATGGAAAAAAAGCATAAAAACTGCATAAAACTGTTACATAGGGTATCTTTCTCCAACATGTAACAGAAACATTTCCCAGTTAAGCATAGGAGTGTCAATAGAAAAGTCACACCACATTCTGAACATATATGCATCTAAATGACCATAAATGGGATCATTTTGAGATCCACTGATAGCCCTAATCCTATTTTTTAATCTTTTCCAAAATCTTTCTATAGAATTCGTTTGTGTCCCTGTAATTGGATCCACA